CCTGCGCATCTGGAGCCTGTGCTCCGCAATGGGAGAGGCCAGAACAGTGAGAGGCCCGTGTACCACAAAAAAAAAAAAAAAAAAAAAAAAAAGGACGCTTGCGATGACATTGGCCCTACTGTGATAATCCAGGATAATCTCCCCATCTCAAGGTCAGCTGACTAGCAACCTTAATTCCACCAGCAACCTGAATTTGCCTGTGCCACGTAACCTAACACAGTCACAGGTTCCAGGGATTAGGACATGGACGTCTTTGGTCCGGGGGAGAATTATTCTGTCTACCACTCCCTCTCCCACCCCCAGGAGCAATAATGGCAGCAGTATTTATTGAGCACTTGCCATGTACCTGTCAGTGCACCCTCCCTCCCATCTCCACACCCCATCCCGCCCTCATCCATCCTGAACAATCTCATCCACTCTTTACAACCCTATAAGGAAGGTTCTATTAGTGGTCTCATTTTACAGACTCAAAGAAGTTAAGCAATTCCCCAAGCCTACCCAGCAAGTAAGGGCTGGATATTGGAATTCGAACTCAAGTCTGTCCAGCTCTGAAGCCAGAGTCCCAACCATATGTGCATCCTATGAAGCCACCCAATCCCCTCCTCTGTGTTCCCATAGCTGAGTGGTCGGGCCTTTCTTTTTAAATGATACTCCGTTAAAGTTTCAACTTTGGGCAGGTCACCTCCCCACCTCAGCTGTCACAGTAATAAGAGTAGTTATTTAACGAAAATCTACCGTGTCTCAGACCCTTCACATACAACATCTCTGACACCCACTGCTAAGGCCGGTCCTGTTTCCACTTTCCACAGAAGGAAGCTGAGACTCAGAGAAGCGAGGGTCAGCCTCAGGGGTCATTAATGGCAGTTCTGGAAGTTGAACACAGGCCTAATTCCAAAGCCAGTTCCTGCCTCAGCCAGGCCACCTTTGCAGTTGTAAACGCCTGCTGCCTTTGTAAGCAGGGTAGAGACATATACATATCATTAGCTGGCTTTAAGGTGGCAGTGTAGTCCAGTGGTTAAATTGGAGATGCTGGAGTCATACTGCTGGGGTTCCCAGCCCTCCCACTTTCTGCCTGTGTGACGTATGCAAGTCACTTAACCTGTGTCTGCCTCAATTTCCTCATCTGTAAAATGTATAATGATAGTACCTACCTCATAAGGGCTGTTGTGAAGATTAAATGAGTTAACATATCTCAAGTGCTTTTGATAGTCACTGCCACACAGCAAGCGCTATGTAAGTGGTGGCTTTTATTGTGGGGTGACCTGGTCAGCTGAGGGTCATGCAGAGCCCCTGCTCCAATGTCTGGTCACGTCATTGGTCCTCTGCTCCAGTCTTGTTAGGCATCTTTCTTCTATGAAACTTTATGACCCCAAACTACCTAAATGGAAGGTTATCTGGAAGACCAAAAAAGATAAATGTTGAGAATACTTTATAAACTGTAGAGAGAAATGCCCATGTTGGCTATCATTGACCTTTATGAAGTGCTTAACAATCAGACCAGGAAACCATAGACCCACCGGAAGACCCAGTGTCAGCCTTCTCAGTGTGGGCCCCAGGGGAACAGAGGGCCGGCAGCTGTCATATGTCCTCCTCCCTCCCATCTCCACACCCCATCCCGCCCTCATCCATCCTGGGGCTGTAGGAATGCGATGGTATCTCAGCAAACAGACAGTCTGTTCCCAGAGGAGATGGGGCCGCCCCCAGGAGGCCCCACTCTCCCAGCCACTGTAAACACAAGGGTCTGTCCTCTTTATCAGCCTGGCTCAGCGGCAGCGGAGACAGTCTGCCCGCTGGAGAGTCACTGCGCAGCGATAAGCCGCCGGGCCCCTTGTTGGCTGCCCTCCTGGGGCTGCAGCCGAGCTGTGCCAGAATAGGAATCTTGGGGCTGTCCTGGCTCGGGGCCTAAACACCTCGTCCAGGGGCTGGGGGCTAAGGATGGGGGGCTGGATGCCTGTGCTCTGAGAATGTTAGCCAGTCAGAGGAAGGAAGCAAAGGTCCAGAGCTGCCAAGGGGCCAGGGCACACAGTCTGCAAAGCCCCCAGGAGCTCCAAGACTGCTGACTCTGTTAATTACATTGCTTTGCAAGATATCTTTATCCTCCTCCTCCCTCATCATTGTCATCTTTACAGACCATACATATTGATGATAGTTTTCCCCATGTTTTCCAATCCACGCTCCAGTCAAAGAATTAATACACACAAAGCACTTAGCACTGGGCTTGGTAAGGGCTCAGAGAAAGTCACCTTGCACAGGTACAGTGTAGTAGCGTTCTTGTGGTTCAGGCAACCCCCGGTCCCTTAAAATAATAACAGCTAATTTTATCCGGGACAGTCATACCCATTATGTCCTCAGTTTCTCCACTGACTGGACGTGGGGAATACTGGTATGAACATCATTCCCATTTGACAGAGGAGGGAACTGAAGGGCCCAGAGAGGCGAAGTGATCTGCCTAAGCTGCACAGTCAGGACATGGCACAGCTGGGACCAGCCCCAAGCCCAGCCCAAGGAGTCAGGATAGAATCCTGGGAGCCCCAGGGGCTGGGGGCTAAGGCCGCTCTCACTGAGTCTACGATCCAGCCATCACCATCACCATCACAGGGACTTCTGCTGCCTTCTCCCTTCTAAAGGCACCCCCTGCACCCCAACAGGTACCCTCTCCTAGCCAAGGGACCTCCAGGTGGCCTTTGATTCTCATGAATGGGTCCACCATCACCTTCCCCACAAACCAGCTGGGCCCTCAAACCTCCCCTCCCCCACATCAACAGGCTCTGATTCTCAGGGTGACAGAGGAAAGGGATGGACACTGAGCTGGAAGTTGGGACATACAGAATGGCTCCCCAGATGTCTCAAGTTTCCTCCAGGCCATGTCTTCTCCCTGTGCCCACCGGAGTGTCCCGCCTCCACCACCCACATGTCCACCAGATCCCACATCACAAGGTGGCCCTTTAGTCCACTGCTGTAGCCTCAGACCTCCAGCTACTGCCCCAGGCAAGGTCATGGCCCCTCTGCCACCTCCCCCGAACACCCAGCCTATCACCACCTTACTCACGGATACTTACTGAGTGTCTTCTCTGCACCAAGTACTCTTCCAGGCACTGGGGGGACAGCAGTGAACAAAACAGACAGGGTCCCTTCCCTCACGGAGCTTTCACTCTAATGAAGGAAGCGAGGGAAACAGACCGTTAAAACAAATGAGTAAACTATAGGGCATTTTAAGTAAGATTTATTATAGGTAACTTTACTATCATTGAAAATAAGGGCTTTGGTTAAAGAAAAAAAAGGGATGGGTTTGGGGAGTGTGGGGTGGAGTTGCTGTTTAAATGGGGTGGTCACGTAGGCCCCCTTGAGAAGGTGACATTTGCTCAAAGAGTTGAAGGAGGTAAGGGGGTCTACCTTAAGGATTCCGAGGAAGAGCATTCCAAGCAAAGGGAACAGCCAGGGCAAAGGCCCCTGTTTGAATCCATGTTGCCTTTTCTGTGCACCCACATTTTTCATCCCTTTATTTGGCCCTGAGCAGAGTTCAGGAGCATCAGAGGAAGTTGCTCACTTGGCCACCTGTCCTGCTGTACCAGGAGCTCCTTGGGGCAGGGACCCTGTAACGGTCAAGTTCACAGTCACCTCAGACCCCACCCTGACATGTCCAGACACACAGACAGACACAGACCCAGACCCTCATGCCCAGACATACACACCCAAACTTGTATACAGAGATCCACACACTATGCCAATAGAGAAGGCCTCAGTGACTGTCTATTGAGATGAACTGAGTGAAGAGAAAATCATAATTAAGTACACTCAGCCCCATCTAGTTTACAAAGGTCTCCCTTGTGCCTACTCTTTGAGCTTGAGAACTGGGTGGTTAAAAATAGTGAGGCTCAGAGAGACCAAGGTGAACAGGCTTGTCACTGGTATTTGCAATACTGGAACCCAGCTCTTCTGATTTCCATCCAATATATGTTTTCATTAAAAAAACAAAAAACTAAAAAATAGGTCCGATGTGAACATAGTACAAAATTCAAACTGTCCATAGAGGCAAGTGTCCCTCTTCTCCCCGCCATCCCCACACCCCCGCTCGGCACACAGCTTCCTCCCTATAGAGTCAGAGTGCACTTATCAATTTACTTCCAATGGAGACTTCGGCTCTCCTCTCTCTGTGAAGAGAATCTGCACTGCACATACATCTGACATTATGAAAACAGGCCAGGAGTCCCCACTCTGGAAGCATCTCCTCTTTGCTCCTAGAACCTAGGTTGTCTGGAGCCAGGCTTGGCATCCACTTGGTTTCCCCAAACCCACAAGCCTCTTGGATCCATGACATGGTCACTGAATAGTTCACATCTTCGCCCCTGGGGATGATCCAATCATCATGAGGAACGCCTGGTCCTCAGAGAGAGGAAACAGGGACTGAGCGAGAAGAGGGAAGGAGTAGGAAGGGGCTTGGGAGGGGGAAGGTGGGCACTGCAGGAAATCACACCGTGCTGCAGTTTCTTTAAAACTAGGCAGGTGGCGCAGTGGTTGAGAGCCCGCCTGCCGATGCAGGGGACACGGGTTCGTGCCCCGGTCCGGGAAGATCCCACATGCCGCGGAGCGGCTGGGCCCGTGAGCCATGGCCGCTGAGCCTGCGTGTCCGGAGCCTGTGCTCCGCAACGGGAGAGGCCACAGCAGTGAGAGGCCCGCGTACTGCAAAAA